AAATATATGATAAGAATCAGCTGTAAGATGAGCTTTTAACTAAAAAACTTTAATATCTATTGCATGAGAGTAAGAATTAATTGCTATGAAGTTAGTAAGGCTGCATGGCTTGTGACAAGTGAGATAAGATGGTTTTATGTATGAGGAAAATTAGTTTGGTGCTATAAATTTCTGTAAAGTAATTTTTTTTTTGCTATCATAAACAATGAATTTGAGAATAAGATACAACACTTATCGTCTCGTGACATTTTTAATTTCAGATGTTATCAGACTCATCAGCTTTAATAATAAAGTCGGTTTTTTTACACCAAGCTCAGTATTATCGGTATTCCCAGTCTCTACATGGGTAGATTGGTTTTCTAAAATTGATTATGTTTTGATTAGGACAACGATTTTTGCTGTTCCATCCAAGAAATGAGTAAAGAGTGCATTAATCTAAAAATCATTGTCAGTAGTTACAAATATTGAATGAACAAACAAAATCCTTCTTATGCGTATTGTTTACAGCACTGCAAAAAAAATTCCATTCAACAGCTAAAGTAATAACGTAGCTCAAAATTTTCCAAAAGCTTAATCTAAATGCTTTTGAGTTTTGAGATCCAATGGAGAACCTTTATGCAAGAAAATATGAAAAGGGAGTACTTACGCTTATTTTTACACATAAGCATGAAAAACTATAAACATATAAATGCATAAACATACATATAGTTTCTTCTTACTTAAAATAATATGCTTAATGCACATTTGAAAACTTTTTAGAGGCTCTTAAAAAATTCAGATAGAGGTAATAGACGTTAAAAGCAGTAGATATATGATCATGCCTGTTAAAGCAAAGTGAGGGGCAGGAAAAAAAGTCTGAAGCTTACTCTAGTAGATAATTAACTGCAGAACAAAGCGTAACCTTGTGTAGAATTAAACAGTAACTAGTTTTTTTGGTAAAGTCAAGTCCTCAAAAATAAGAAAACTTACATAGAGTGTAAAAAATTCTCTGCACCTAGTGATACTACTCGCAGTTGTCGTGAGTCAATAGAAGCATATTGTATTCCACAATTTGCTTATTTTTATTTATAATTAAAGTGGCTGTGCAAAAAAGTCAGTGCACACTTATGATTGTTGTTATTTTACTTAGTATTTTACCATGAGGTTTCAAAATAATTGTAGTCCATAATAAAAGTAGATAACTGCTACAGAAATAACAGTTGTATCTAAAACAGCAACAATTTGCAGTGACCAGTTTCCTTAGACTCCATTTCAGCAGACGGAAAATACACTATTATAAGACGTTTGTTATCCACGCCAGTCTTTTCGATAACTATAAATTATACTGATGGTTACTTATAATCCAATGCAGAAGGAATCATCCTGCCTAGTACTAACGATAGTATTAGGGTATCAGAGTCTATTTTTAATTAATTAGTGCATCCTAAGTGACATAAATGTCAGAACTTTCATCAAATCAGACTTCAGTTTATTAATGCTTACCTCTCTTGTAAGTACTAATACTACTACTCTTTTAAGGCAAAAACATTATTTTCAATAACCAAAAGGTGTCCCTTAATTATGAGTGATATTTGTTGAAACTTGACAGCGTAACTAATAGTGAAAGCTCTAGATATATAATTAAAATACAAAGTTTTAAGCTTTCGCCTCTGGTATAAAAAATTAAAAAAAAAAGAAGTCATTGTATTTTGGCACAAAAAAATTTTATTTGGGAACAAACATTGTTACCAAGTGGTAGAAGACAGTGCATCTTGTGTGAGTATGTGCATAAACTGTGAATATTAAGCTGGGTGTTCGTTTTTTAAGTTAGTTATTAATCATAAGTTCTCATTATTTTAATATTGTGTTTTAGAACTCTCAAATGGCTACGTATATTGACAAGATGTCAAGATTAATAAATAACTTTGCTCTATCTTACATAGTTAGCAGTGCTGAGAAGATAATTTTTTTAACCTAATATACTTCGCCTGGAGCAAAATAAAGTTAATGGATTTTGTGTCAATTGGTGTTTTTTTGACTTATAATTGAAAGTAATCGTAAAATGTATACTAATTTTAATATCAATAATAATGATACTAGTAACAACAATTATACTTATAACGCTTTTAAAAATAATAACAGTTATTTATTATAACAATAATAATAACTGTTAATTATAATAATGATTAGAATCATTTTCATGAAAAAAATATGCTGATTTGTATTGTTATGATGATAATAAAAGAAGCAATAGTTAAAATCACCAAACAGTTTTAATTTTATTCGGAAAAACAGAGAAAAAAAAGGCTTATTCTAAGCATGAGTTACAAGATTTGTAGCGTTTTACATTTTTCCGTTAAGCGTGGGAAAAAGTACTAACAGCTGATGATATGGGTGTGTAACTTATTTGCTCGTTTTCCTAGGTACATCCTCTTCTTACTAATATTTGTCGTATCTCAGCACCCTTTTAATGGGATTAAAGGGTTTTATCACTTTTTTTGCGCAAGCAAATAGTTAGACATTTACGTTCTGGTTGAAGCAAACAAATCTTATGATGTTTAACTTCCAGGAACTGAAGAATCTTTGTTATTCTGTGGAATACTACGGTTTTTATGTGGATCCTCTAAATGTTACTGAGTTCTAACACTTTTTATGCTAGAAATTGAAGGTGTGAAAGAGAAATAAGCAAGCATTTTTGTTGGTTGATGACACACAATTTTTTTTATTTTGTGAGTCAATATAAGGGAGTATCGAAAAAAAAAAAAAAAATCAGGAGTTCACTAATGTATGTTTTTAAGTTTACAGAAAGAAAACGACCAAAAAAATTCATTATCATTGTCAGCATTAATACGTCTTCATTTTTAACTATAGTCAAATAGATATTTATTTAATTTTTGCAAGTGTTTAATAAACAAGGTGACTAGAAGTAACATGTGAAACGCAACACTTTTTTTTACTATAAACATTATTACTTAAGCAAATAAATGTGGTCTTACATCTTACCTGATAACAGCTGGATAGCAATGATGATTAAATCGAGACGGATTCTTATAGATTGCAACCCCAACATATTTTATGTCATCCTTTGTGAGTGTACTAACATTTTTTGAATTATTTTTATCATATATCTCATAAGCATTAAACTGCAAGACTTGTAAGTGGAGCAGTAGAAGTAGTCCTATCATCATCTTGTCTTCAGAGAATGACGAACACAACGCTAAAAATAAAAATTTATGAGCAACACATTTGACCGTAATAAAAAATGAATATAGACTGAGAAAAAATCTTAGTTTTAATGGTTTCTATAAATAGGATTTTTTTTCTGTATCATTAGGGAAACAAAGATAAAAACATAAAAAGATAGGAGTATGATTCTTACGATAAAAGGGATGCAGGTTAGAGTATTAAATTAATACGTACAGTGTGTCTTATGCTTATGATGTAGAAGGCATATAAAACCAGTGGAATTAATTTATTGTTTACGCAATATTTTCGAAAGCTTCTAGCTCTGATCATCTTATTTCTCTGTGCTCTTGTACATATCTCTGAGGATGACTCTGTGCAAAACATTGTAAGTACTCGTAAGACTTGTACCTCTTAGAAATAATGAAACCAAAATCTATTGCAATTAGAAGTATATTATAATATAAGAACCTTAGTACGCTAAAGTACAGTGTTATGTAAATTTACTTAGAACATTTAAAAAAAAACAACGTATAGAAACAATCGTGCACGACAAATCTTTTTTTTAACTGTCGAGTATATCGTACATTTCGAACAACAAATATATAAGTATATATGTATGAGAGATAGACTACGGGCACTATCTCTGGCAAATGACATTTGTGTTATATACATAGACGCTTGGCACTTGCACACGGGCTCAACAGAGATCTCGTATGTCCATGAAAGCATGCGGTCATGCATGCAATCAACTATTTGTCGTTGGCTGTGTATCGTTATGATAATTATGTTCTTTCTTCATGAAATCTTATTAACTATAACATAGTTTTCTTACTTATTTCCTATGATATTTGAAATAAATCTCTTATAATGTAGCAGCTCAGTAGTTATATATGATATAAGTGTGAATCCGACACTGAAAATCACGGAACAGTTCTTGTTAAAGAGTAATGTTATTAGTCACGTGTCCCATGCAAATTTTAAAATTAAGGAGGTTATATGCAAGTGATTGCAAATAAAATAAGTGTTAATCCAACCCTAAAAAGTAAAGGAAAATCTTTGGTAAATATCATCAAAGATATACTGGTGTTAGAGGAATTTATTTACAGAAGAAGAATTCAATAAAAAAATCTAGAAGGTTCGAAAACTGATACAAGAGATATCAAGATGGTGGGAATTGTAATACCTGTGTTTTATGGCCAAGATTATGCACCCTGGAAGATGAGAATTACGATGTTTTTAAATTCAAAGAAATGTGTAACAGTGTTAGAAAGAAAAATAGTATTGACGGACAAAGAAGACAAATGGGCTGAGAACGTTTTGAAGGCCATCAATTATATTAACAGTGCTATTTCGAATAAGCAGCTAAAATTAATGAGTAATTTTGATGTGGCACTAAGAATTATTAAAAAATTGAAAACTATGTATTTAAAGAAATCAACAGTTTATAAGGTAATATGCAAAAATAAGCTAAAGAAGATCAGGTTCAAAGACTTTCAAGAATTATCACTTTTTATGAGTGAATTTCAAAAAGCAGAGAACAAGTTAGAGGCTGCAGGCACTACAGTGTCAGAAAAAGAAGTTAAATGATTAATTAAGAACATTACCATAACCTTAGAGTTATATAAATGATACGTTTAAACCAGAGAATCCAACGGTTCGTTATGAGATCAATGAAGTAAAAATATTAGAAATTATAAATAAAAGTGAAGGTGCTAGTGCAAGCGTAAAATCTAGTGCTTTCGTGTCAAAATTTAAAGGTCACGAGAAACAAAAAAAAGCATGTTGTGGCTGTGGTGAAATTAGACATTTGAAGAAAAATTACCTAAATGTAAACGATGCTTGCTGTTGAGGCCAAGCACAGAGGAGTGGACGACAACAATTTTGTAGAAACAACACGCGGCAGGGAGCATCAAGAGGCAGAAGCAGAGGCAGGGGCAGAGACGTGAGCGGTCAACAAGGCAAATGCCCCACGTCACAACAAAAATCATGGCCGCAAGGTAACAACTCGTTTGACGCCTTTTTTGGCGAAGATGGTTGAATCTACTGCAATGTATAGCGAAATACAAGGTGAACGTCTTGACTAGCATTTAGGGAGTGGTGGTACTGATCATATGGTCAATAGAGATTATGTTTTCGTAAATCTTATTAAATGAAATAATCTCGTTAATGGTAATATAGGAGACGGTAGACGCTTAAAAACGAAAAAAATAGACAAAACTTTGAGTTATTTTGAAGTGTACGATAAAGTAGTAAGAATGGAAATGTCTAATGTATACTATGTTAGGGAAATAAAAAAAATTTTCTCAAGTTTTTCAAAAGTAACTGATAAAAATAAAGTCATTGCTCAAAATAATATGGCAGAAATTTATAACAGTGAGGGTGCGCTTTTAGCTATCTCGTATAAAACAGATGAAATGTACAGAATGCAGAGTAAAATTTGAAATGATCATAAGGTTACCGTTACTTTTTAGATTACCGAGGATAATAATAAAATTACTTTAAAAGAAAAATGGCATCGTATTTTGAGACATGCAGATTTTTAATATTTAAATCTTATATGTAAAAATTAATTAGTGGAAGGTCTGTCAAAAGAAACTAAGAGTGAAGATATAAAATACGCTATTTGTATTATAACTTTCAAAAGCAATAACGGCATTTTTTAATTATTATTCATCTTATTCGTAATGGGATTTTAAAAAAATGTTGCATATTATACCATTGTGCTCTTCACATACTTTTCCATCTACCATGGTGAAAGTTATTTCTATTTAAACTACAAATCCGTTGATTTTAACAGTTTTTAATACGCTTATTTGTCGTAGTAGATAACGTTCCTCCCATTAGCAAAGCTCAATAGTTTTTTTTTTCGTATAAAATTTTTATTAGATGACATAATCTAGTGACGGACAGCTGTAGATTGTACCAGTGAACTGTATCATATGTTTTATTTATTACTCGTCATGGGACAAAGGAGATACAAAAAACGTAACGTGCTATCTTGTTGCTTGACTAAAATTTCATCTACATCCATGAACATTGCTACTGTCGAATGTTTATTTTATTAACAAAATAACGTTAGTGTTATCGTTTAAATAAATTTATAAATATCTTAAAAACTTCGAACTCGTACGTTCCAGTAGGCTTTTAAGAAGTACTTTGTATTTATTCTCAGCAAAGCTAATGATTTGTGGGTATGCAGCTGACTTTGCAGGTAGTATCTTTAATTGAAAGTTCCAATTACAGCAGTTAAACATTTTTTTTTTTTTTATCAAAGTCTTTGAAAATACAACGTACTTGTTGCACATTTACAGTAAAATCATTTGTATTATATTAAACATTGTATAATAGATAATGATAAGCAGAAAAAGTATTAATAAAAGACTAAGTTTGAGGTAAAAGTGCAAAAGACAGGATGGAAGTTAGAGAACTGCAAAGGTTAACAGACAAGGATAAGATAAAAAATATTTTAGATGGATAAGGTATGGTGAAAGTGGTGCGAAAGGAGTGAGTAATTCAAAGAGCAGTAGCAATACTTAGTGACAGATAGAATATGCAAGACAAAAGAAGAACAAAAAGAAGATAATAAACTCCAGAATACCATAGATTAAATTAAAAGGATAAAAAGATTAGATTAAATTTCAAAGATAAGTAGAGACGTATCTAAAAGTCTTAAATGGGTGGAGTATGTAAAAAGAGAAACAGAAGAGCGCAAAATAAATCATAATACAAAATTATCCAGTAAAATATAAGTTTCTAATTGTGTTGTACATGAAAAAAAAGAGTGCCAGGAGAAGTAATAATGTGACTAGTTGTGCAAGGTACCGAAGGCTTGAAAGAGTAACAAAACGTGAAAACATAGAAAAAATACGAAATGAAATGTCGTAGGTGTAGTGGAAATAAATTTAAACTTCTTATTAAGATTTAAATTTTTTATAATGTGTGACGTGATGAATTGGAAATACATCCAAACATATCACACAGCCCTTGTCACCAGTAATAAGTGGTGAAAGTCTCGTAGGTAGCTCTCTCTTTCTCCTGCATGTGGCTTGCTGAGGAGTACGAAATCCCGGTATCAGGATCAGAGGTCATAACAGTAAGGAGTAACTATAAAGATCGGTCTGACTCTCTCTCCGTTGGTCCTATACCTGTACCTTGAGGATGTGTGTGTGTGTGTGTGAACGGCAGCAATCTGTGTGTTGGTGTCTTGGGAGCAGGCGTAGTACTGTGCTGGCTGATAGTGTGTGTTGTGCCGCATAGTATACGGTGTGCATGCGTGGTGAGACAAGGACAGATACTTGAGCTCACTGCGAGTCTGGCACCGGAGCATCACGGCGCGGCTTCAGCAGACTCTTGCCTGCCAAGTGACCATGACGAAGCAAAGCCGAAGCCTCAGTGCCCTATACACACATACACACACACACACACACACACACACACACACACACACACACACAAGCCAGCCCTCACACGGTTACTTAGGTTCCACGGTGCCCTCAACGCTGGTAGCATCGTCTGGAGCATCACCGAGTATTCCACCGGATCTTACACGGATACTTGTCAGTGAATACATATAGTGTTGGTGCTGTATATCAAGTGCATGAAAGTGGTCGTTCCTACTGACCCTTCCTGGATGCCATATAGAGTCAACCCGAGTCCCTTACCGATAGTTACCAGGTAAATGACATCACTAGATATTAATTAGTGACAACAGCAATCCACAACTCTGGATTCGTCGCTTTCGTGATGTGCCGCGCTATAATTTTAATTTCAATAACAACTATCAAAAAGAATAAATAAGTTGTTAATAGTCAAGTGAGTCATAATATCGTGTCTTATTTTTAGCGGTGCCAAGAGCAGCTGAGATAAAGTGGTGTCTCAGTGCACAATAAATAAGTGCCTCTAAAAAAATACCAGGGCTATCCAATTGCGAGTGCTGTACGGCACTACCTATTGCTGCACTCAGTGCTGCACAATACTGGCTGTACCCAGTACTTCCTTTATCCTCGTTAACTAAACGTTGCATGGCATAACGTAATTGAAAGTATTGAATGTCTGGTTAAGGAATAATCACCACACACTTTAGTTGGAATCCTCGGCCAACGTGTTACAAATGTAAAGTAGCTTTACTTAAGAAAAAATTGTGCAGTAATTACAACGTATGGCAGAAGCTCTTAAAACCGTAAATGGACGGAGTTTGAAATAAATAAGATACAAAGTAAGTTTATCTATTTTATTGTTAACAAATTTTATAAGATAACGATACCTTATTACACGAGAAGTAGATACTATGACTGTTTCAATACCAAATTTCTAATCTCAATGTACGCATGTTGTGTTAAATGGGCTTCTTATATCGTAACAAATACTTCTCCAGATGTCATTATTCTGCTTTTAGGCTTGTTGATTTCTTCTATAATTCTACTTGTACGATCAGAACTTACAATATTATCAAAAATCTGAACACCACTTAAACGTTAGTCAATTTTTAATTTTTTTTTTCACAAGCGCAAAGAATTCTCCATCTTTTATGCTATTATTAAAAACAGACAATGCGTGAAAACGACTTTTTGTTAATGACACTTCAGAGAAGGTACAAGTACGACCTTTCCTTTCACCTACGTAACATTATATACAATGTAAGTAATTGACATGGGATTTATTCTTATCAGTCAGATCATATAATATTTCCATTGTATTAATTGTCAATTTTTTTGAAGAACATTTAATCTATTTTAATTTATTACTTTGCTGATTAATGTTTGCATTATGCTGTACAGTAAACAAGCGAATCAACGCTAAGAAGGAATCCTAAATTGCCAGAGATAAAAATAGATTTCTCAATTAAAAAAAAATTAGTGTAACTTCTGAGCTTTATCTAATACGTTTTACAAAAATAGATAAACTTAAGCGTGTAGTGTTGATATTCATTAGTAAGTGTTATTATCTTCTGAACAGTGAATCTCGATTGGGCTTCCAGTACACATAATGCTTACTTATTACTTATGACTCTGTACACAAATCTATAAATATAAATAAGTACAGGTAATTTTGTTTAATAAATAAATTTTTTATTTCACTTATTTGTATTAAAATTATTGATGATCTTTAATTCATTCAACTAGAGAGTTAAATTTTTTTTTTTCGAAAAGAACACTGGGATTTTTAAAAAGTTTTTTTCCTATTTAATACAATACCTTAACCTAAAAAATCAGTTCAAAACTGGTTCACAATTGCAATATTATCGACAACATTGGTTCAATTTAAAGCTGTATAGCATTTGCGTCAAATTTGAAGCTATTATTTCAAAATAAAAATGTAGCTGTGATAAAGAGCTCGAGACGAATATGCGTTAAGTAATTTAAGCTTGTAAGAAGTATAAAATAATTACATTTATGGTTACACGTTCTGAGGTATTATGTGCTACAAGCACGTAGTTTGTATCTTAAGAGCTCCAAATTTGGTGTTCAAATTAATAAAATCGACAGGTAGTATTTTTTATCATACGTGAATCATACAATTATACATATATAATATAGAAAAAATAGTATTTTGCAGTTTAGTAGATCCTATGTGTGTTCTACTTACTTCTTGAAAGCTAACGTAGGTCGATTAAGGCGGTAATCTGTAAGTCCTACTAAGATAGCCTTACTAACTGTCAACCAACCAAACACGAGGTATGAACAAGATGAACAGAGAGTATAAGAGTGAAGAAGACATAGTTATTATTGTCAGTTATAAGAAGAAGAAAATTCAAGATTGTTATTTATATTATTTATTTATTCATTTATAAACATTGCTTGTGGTAATTTTTTAATGTAGTATTTTTTGTGGAAACTATTTATTTCAAGCTTTTTACTTATTGAGGAGTGTAAAATTACGTTCTCTTCATCGAGTGTGGCTAGTTTCACGACACGATAATTTTTACTGG